CACTCTGTCTCACAGTTGAGCAGCGGGGTGAGTGTGTATGTGTGTGTGTGTAGCAACCAGAAGTACAGCAATTGAGCAAAACTTGAAACAGCTAGTAGAATGAATGTATGCAGTTCTTTTCTCTCAAAGGAAACACGTGAGGTACCAAGAAGAAGAGAAAATGTTCAAACATAGTTATCCAATAAATCAAACTTTGAGAAGTCAAGTGCAGTAAGGGTAAGCAAAGCTTAGCTATTAAAGTGATCTTTCCCATTTTTATGAAGTAAAAAAAATGATTTTTAGAAGAATAGAAGACAAGGCGGAGAACAGATACGGGATTCTTCAGCATAAATTTTGGAAACAGAAAAGGAAAAGATAACATTATCAAAAGCAAAAGGAAGTAGCATGTTTAGCCTAGATGACACTAGATAAATTCAGAGACAACAGGGTGAGCTAAAACACCAAAGGGGAGGTGCAGGAAGAAAGTGAGACACTGCTTTGAATTTTTTATGAAAACCTCAAGCAATTCTTTCTGGAATCCCCAGAGTACTAGTACTAGAAGATTATCTGAACTAAGAAAGTAAATACTCATTGCAATATTTTCTTAAAACAAAAATGAGTACAGGAAGAATGGATTAAATGCATATATAATTCGTGAAAGTGGTGAACTTGAAAGAACTAAGATGTGGTCACTGTAGTAGATGAAATGAATTAAGCTTACATTTGTCCTGGAAAATATGCTACATAACTTCTTGACTTTTTGGCAAAGATCAATTGTAGTACCTGCTCTTATACTGTATTCAGACACAAGTTTTCTAAATGCAGACTGAGTCAACTAAGCAACCAAATAAACTCATTTCTATTGGAAAGAAAATTTAACACATCAGGAAAATGTTTAAAAATCACAGTTCTTTTACAATATTATTTCAGAAGTTAGGCTTTTAAAAAATTACTAAAATGGAAAAAAATAGTAAGGTGGGGTTGGACTGTAAAACCTTATAAACCCCTTCCAAGTCAACTGTTCTATGATTCAATTATTCTAAACCAGCCTTGGGTCCTTTTCAGGAGAAAAGTGGAGTTAAATAAATAAATAAATAAGATTCTAGGGAACAACAGTATGGAAAAATGTCTGCCTACTATATTTTTTTTATTACAGAAAAACTTTAAAAGCCTAGGAAACGGCTATTTACATGCAATTTAGGCACAGAATATCTAAAAAGTTTTAATACAAACCAAGAATTTCTAATTTGCAACACAGTTTGAACAACAGATAACCAACACCAGTTGTTTAAGACAACTGGCATATAACAAAGCCAAAAAATAAGAGATTTTTCAGAGTCATAAGTAAGTGTGAGCCCTTCATATTTAAGGGTAAAAGCTACCATTCCAATACCAAATGAGCCTTGAGGCACAAATTCTTACTAAAATCAGTAGGGTTTACAGACACAGTGGGGCCATTAATGTTGATTACAAAGATGCAATTTTCCCTATTTATTTCTGAGTGAAATAATAGACTTCAATAATAACAGGTCTCTCTTTGTTTGACAAGTCAAATTCAGAGGTCTGTAACATGGCATTTGAGGATGTGGGCTACAGTCTACTAAAACTCATACTTTTCAAAGAAGTAGTCATGTTAGTCTGAGCAAGTGTATCTGGGAAAAAGAAAACAAAAATGTAGTGCCACCTTAAAACTGCTTTATTTTCATGTGAACATTCATGAGTGTCTGAGGAAGAAGACTTGATCCACAAAAGCTCACATGGAAATAACAGTTAGCCTTTATGATGGCACTATGATTTTGGTTTTGGTTTCATCTGGAAAAAGCTCACACTGACGCATCCATTGGTCTTTCTAGTAGCACATTACTCTTCACATTTTTCATAACTTTCATGTATAACACATAGAATTTTTCAATATTTATTCCTTGACTGGGGACTTGGTTTATTGGGATGGAAAACAACCCTCAAGTAATATATAATTCTATGCCTATTCTATTGTTTTATGTATCAGTCTTGGGCTTGACTGAAGTTACAGCTCTGCAATAGAACACATCCTGGTCATCAACAGGTAGGAAGAGGATGGATTCCCATCCAAAATCCCAGAGACTGGGTGTGTCAGTGTTGACAATACTGAGCCAGAAGGACTGACTTGCTTTAAGAGGTTTCTTATGTGCCTAATCTTCTTGAAGGCTGAGTAATCCCTTTAAGAATAAACCAAAGCAAGAAATGCTTATCAAACTATCTATCTATCACTAGTGCAAAAGCTAGAACAATGCAAAAATAGGTATCAATTTCCACTCCACTTTCCCTTTCTATGTATGAAGTAAGGTGCTAATATTTCTGCCTTGCACCAATTGTGGAAGCTACACTTAAGTACATGAACTTGATCTTTTTAAAAAAGAAACAAACTGTGACTAACAACTGGTACCTTGCAGAATATTTCAAAGTCTGTAGCCCACTTCTTCATATGCACTGCCTTCTTTATGAAACTGAATAAGCAGGCTACAGTTCACAAGGGATTATATCAAATGAAATCTGTTAGTCATTAAGGTGCCAAAAGACGTCTTGCTTTTGCTTCTTTTAGACAACACAACTACCCTTTTGATTTTTAAAGCAATTAACAAAAAGGAAGTTGGATTCAATTCAACCTAACAGCTTTTAGGGGCAATCATCTTCAATTTATGTGAGGCATCATGGCCCTAGGCTTCACAAGTCTCGAGATGCCTTATGAAAGCAGCCTTTTACAGTAAATATAGCAATTATCATAGGGAAGTCTGTTACAAAGGTGTAATTCAAAATTTTCAAATGATACATTCATTTTATTTATTTTTAAGCATATTTCCAAAGGTAGAACATTTGTGCCTTTTGCAAGACCCACCAAGAGAAGAGTCGCCTATTCAGTAAGCTAAAAACATAGCAGCATGCTCCAATAGCAGCACATTTTTTCACCTCCAGATGCAAGTACTGTATTCCTCAGTGCTTCCAACTAAAGACAGCATGGAACCCAGGGTGGAAAAAGTGATTGATTTTATAAAATAAAATTTATCTAAACCACACTTTAAATAAGAAATTGATTGATTTTATTTAAATAATCAAAAATCTATTTGTTATTTAAATCAGATTTCTCTCCCCCCCACCATAGACAAAGTTCATGGCCACGATATCAAATACAATACATTTTGAACCTGTGCTCTTTCTTCTCAAATGCAAGTACTGTATCTTGAATCTTCGGTTCCAGTTGTTTTGCAACTGAGTTCACTGCACTCAAGAATCTATCTGAACAATCCTATCAGAATACATTCAGCCCACAACAGGCATATTATTATGTCCCTGTAAGTGTTGTCCTCTTGCATTTGCCTCCATAAGCGGTTAACTCTTTAGCCATAATCTTTCACTTTGGGCAGTTACTATTTTCACAATACAGTACATTTCAAATGTATTTTCCTCTTTAAAATGGTTTACTTTCATAGAACAAAACACTGAATAACCTATGAAGCTCAAAAACTATCACTCAGTAGATACAAAGTTTATGTACATATGTATGAAACGTAGAGTTCACTGCATCAGACCTTTGGAACCCATATAGTACTGTAATTGTATACATGCTAGGGAGAATAACAAACTATGAAGGCTGTGAAAGGCAGGACCAGTCACAAAGAGAAAGGACACCTGAAACTCTCCATAATGTACCAGAAGGGCAGGAAGCAGAATCCAAAACTAAAAATAAGGCAATATAAATTGCCAAAATATATATTTTTCAGTTCATGCTGATATGTCTCTTAGAAAGAATTATATTGGTTACATTTAGTTCAGTTTCTAGAACAAGTCAACTGTTTGAGGAATTATGACAATCATGTCAATGCCCTCCAAACCTCTCAATCACCCTTTTCATGCCCTTCATATGCATACGTACAGTATATAAATGTGCACACATACTGTAAAGAATAGATATTCTGATCGCCAGCAGGTGTAACACATAGGCCTCTAACACTCAATGCTTTCCTTCTAAAACATTAGCTGCTGCAGAGCACACAAACAAAAACACCACTGTAGCCTATATGGGACAGTACTGTAGCACTGGCTGCAGTAGAACAGACCACCGCCAAGGGCTCCTATACAGCCCCTGCTGGTATTAAATGCTTCAGAGGTTCCTCTACAACTAGTAACCCCCATTGTCATTGCTACTGTCTTGGCAGTCATGCATCTATAAATACACAACTAATAAACAATCTCTATATCTGTTGAACATTTGAAGGTATCAAAACAATTCCTCTGAGGTATCCCTGAGGGAAAGTGAAGGGCACTTTCCTAAGGGATATAAAAGCTTTCAATTACTTGTGAAATAGCAAAAAAAAATGTGAAATAGAAAGCATAATATCATGATACACAAAGTGTACTTGCCTTGAAAACCCTATTAGGGTCTCTATGAGTCCGCTCCGACTTGACAGCACAGAACACGCACTCAAAGGGTCAAGAAGACACATTTCACACGGAATAACAGACATAAACCCCTGGAGTGGTTCTTGTAGACATAGTCACCCTCCCTTACACACACCGGATTTGGACCCATAAACACAGAGTTCGTCTTTGCTTCCTTCAGCTTGGGTGGCTCTCCTTAGCTCAGCCCCAGACCCCATTCCTTCCTGAGGACTGAGGACCAACTTGGTTCCAGAAGAGCTAAAGCCCTGCCGCAGGCCTGCGCCTCCTTTTCTCGCTCCAAGGGCCCACCGTTCACCTGCCCGACCGGGGCCAACCGGCCTCCCTCCCTCCCTCCCTCCCTCGCGTGTTATACAAAGCACATCCAGCCCCCCCCCCATCTCGCGGCGTGCTACTGTATTGGGTTTTGGAGAGTGGGCAGAAAAATCCTCAAAGCTGGGAAAAGCCGTTTCGGGGGACGGCCGCTCAGAAGGCTCCTTTCCCTCAGAGACCGGGGACGTCCCCTCGTTACCGTGACACCCACGCAACCGGCTTGCTGGCTGGCTGGCGGCGGCTGCCTTTCTGGGGCGGCGGCGGCGGCGACTCACCTCGTCCCCCCACTTGAGCACGTCCTTGTGCCTCTCCCGGACGGCGCGGTAAATGTGCAGGAACTGGAGGATGCCGTGCTTGCGCACGTGGTCCGCGTGCCGCTGCGTCTTCTCCCAGCTCAGCGGGGAGCCCTGCGACAGGAGCCCCATGGCCCGGCCGGGGGAGCGAGCCCAGAGGAAAGGGGGCCGGCTGAGGGGGGAGAAGGAGGACGAGGAGAAGGAGAAGGAGGCGGTGGCGGTGGCCGCTGCCGGGGGAAAGAGGAAGCGGTGACAGCGCCGACCGCTCGCGCGCCTGAGAGCGGAAAAGCCTGAGGAGACGGAGAGCAACGGCTCTTCTCTCCGAAGGCGGGGGCATGACGAAGAACGACGCTGACGCGAGGGGGGCACGTGATCAAAGAGGGGAGGGAGGGGGGGAAGGGTGTCTTTGCTTTTTGCGCGCCCTCTGTAGCGCGCGCGCGAGGCAGAGAAAGTAAGGACGAACCTGAGGGGGAGGCGGCGAGAGGAGGGAAAGGAGCGTCACGCCGTGACTCAGCACTTTCTCGGTCCTCTCTCTCTCTCCCCTCCCCGTCTTCCGGCCCCTTGCCGACCTCAGGAGAGAATGAGAAAGGCTTGCCTTGCCTGAGGTTGTAGCAACAGTACCAGGTCTTTTATCCTTTGTCCCTTTGGCCGAGATCGAAGTGGGAAGGGCTGTCATAAGAAGCCTTTTGTTCTCCTTTAGTGTGTATGTATGTGTATGAGAGAGAGATGTGTTGTTGACTTACAGCGACCGAACAGGGCGTTTGAAGGAGTTTGAGATCTTTGAAGGAGTGCCACGCTCCCTCCCCTGAGTTTCCATGGTCCGAGGGGCGATTTGAACCCAGGTCTCCTAAGGCCTAGCCAGCCGCTCTTTCCACAACACCATACAGTACTGAGCATCGATCTCTCCGAATGGGACAAGCCAAAAGTTACATGGAGGAGGAGGAGGATCCTGCTTTTTTCTGGTGCAAATCCTTCAAAACAAACGGAACAATAAGAAAGTCTTTCCATCATCCTAAAAAAGCCTAGCAAAAATATTCTGTAGAATATACAGTATCTCTATATTTTAAACATTCTCTTTTTTTTTAAGCCTGAGATGAAGATGGTCCCATGAATAAAATAATCAGAGAAAGGTTTAAATCAGCAATGAAATGATGGGCTACAGGCTGGCTTACAAAGGAAAATTATGATGGAAAAATAGCAAATAGGAATGAGACTTTCAGAAAACAAACTTCCAGTCCTCTTATTCAGCAGAAACCACCCCCTTCTAAGGCTAAATCACGGGGAGTTGTTGTTTGTTTGTTTGTTTTTTGCAAAAATCCCATCTGTAATGGCAAGGCACAGCATTTGGGGGAAAGGTTATACTGTACTCATCTCTTAAGAGTGGTTTGACATTGCATGCTTAAAATGTCTGCACTGATGCAGGAAAGCAAGTACATAAATGAGTTTGGTGGGCAACAATACTAACTGGTACATGATGCCTCGCAAGACGATTTTAATTCGTTCCGTGGAAATCGAATCACTGTCTTGCAAAAACATCATCTTGCAAAACCCAGTTCCCCATAGGAGTGCATTGAAATCTATTTAATGCATTCCAATTGGGAAAAAATCACTGTCTTGCAAAAATTGTCCATAGAAGACACTCTTGCAAAACACTTCCCCATACCATATTGGGGAAAAAAAATCCCCTCACCTGCACTGCCTTTGGAAATTCAATGGGCCTCAGATGGCCCTCCCCCTCTTTCTCTCTTCAGCAACAAAGAAAGAAGATGAAAGGAATCAAAGCAGCCCCTTGGCTCCTGATCATGGTAACTTCTTTTGCCCAGTTTTTTTACCACTGAGGGAAAAAGAAGAAGAATGCAATATAAGACATCACCAAAACTTGTTACCTTTGTACTAGGTCCTGATGAGAAGAAAGATGAAAAAGAATCTAGAAAAACCAAGGAAACTACAAGTGTAATCTCCCACTAACATAAATTATGCAATTGAGTTCCCTACATCTGGGGAAATCATAGGGATCAGCAACATACCCAAAGTGCAATGGATGAGCCTTACCCAAGAAAACCACTTTTGTGACATGGTATTTACCCTACAATGTATGAGTTAAAATGGTCCTTGCACCTCATACCCCCCTTCTGTCCCCTGACCCCGCAAGGCATGGTGACCCCGTGGCTGCACCTCCCACTTAGTACAGGGCTACACAGCCCCAGTCCTGTCAGAGGACAAGAGAGCTCCTCAGTGTGTTGAGGTGCCCTGCGGGACTCCCATCGGGCTAGGGGTTCCTCCCACAATCCTCTAGTGCACAGGTATTAGCATAAGGTATTAACATATGCTAATACATGTGCACTAGAGGATTGTGGGAGGAACATGTAGCTAATGCTAGGTGTTTCTCCCACAATTACCATAGGTATTAGCATATGTGCAGTAGAGGATTGTGGGAGGAACACCTATCCCCTGATGTTATAAAAGTGGTTTTCCCATCTATTGCACTTTGGGTGTGCTGCTGATCCCTGTAATTTCCCAAATATGAAGAACTCAGTTGCATAATTTTGTTAATGAGGGGTTACATTTGTGATTATCCTAGTTTTCTTTTAATAATCTCTTTACTCTTTGGTTCCTTATTGTGCTCAAAAAAAGTTGTCAAGTAGTGAATTCCTCATTTAGCAAGGGGCAATTATATATATAATGGTAAAGAAGTCATTTCTGGGGGGGTCATGGTTTAAGAAGTCCAGGTCAGGATAGTGAGGGCTGGTGGGTATCCATATGAGATCAGTGCTTGCCCTTCAAAACTGATACAGGGTGTGCTTGCATTGACAAATAATGCAAAGAGTGCTCTAAAATTGGGACAATCTGATTCACATTATTTTCTGTTGATTACATGATGTAAAAGTCCATGTGAATTAACTCAGAGTTTCTATCCAAATCCATAGTTTTTTCCTCTGTTACTAGGGCTTCTACTTTTGGGATCAAATGCCTTTGCTGTGATTCAGGCAGTGGGATCACTTGAGCCAATGTGAGGGGCTTGTAGCTGTTGCATTTAAAGGCATTGTGGCTCTGGCAGCAGTGAGGGGGGGGAGTGGCTTTTGTTTGAATCCTTTTCTCCCAACTGTGTGTGCCTAAGTGTGCTTTCCTCTTTACTCCCTGTTTCTTTTCTCTCCCCCCTCCCCTTTCTGTTACAGGTTTGCTAATCTAGTACTGAGGGGAAAATAGGAAGGGATGTTTTAAGCCAGCTCTGCTGTAACTGGTACCTCCTGCAAATCTGAAAGGGAGCAGAACTACCTTAAGAAGCTGGAACAAAGCTGGAGTGAAAACATCTTCCTGTCTCTCTACCCATCCCTTGTTTTCTGTTTTCTCTTTGGTTACCTAGCTGGTCTAGTTCTAGGACAGCAAGTCTTCACAAAAGAAAGAAAGGGAATGGGAGGTTAGTGGAAAGGGAAGCAAACAGACCTAGGCACCAGCTGTGGGAAGCAGTGATTCAAACAGTTAACAAGCTACACCCAAGGCTGATTTCCTCTCCCCTCTCTGCTGAGTCCTGTGTGGTCTGCAGAAGCAAATTAACCTGGGGAAAATGAATCCTCAGGTGCGACTTCACAGTGGATCCATTCACATTTTTTCCTGCTGCAGAAGTTACATCCTTACTCTGTTATGGCGGTGCAATTGTGTATCACAATACAGCTCTCCTTCCCTGTTCCTCTTGGTGGGAGGCCAAAGTGAAAGTGTGGGACTGCCCCAGTCATGCCTGCTCTGTGACCAGTGAAATTCAACCTAACCTTCCACTACTGGCAGCTGCTGATCATGGAACCTGACTGTGAGCCAAGGCGGTCTAATGCATAGAGGCAGATAAATATCAGATAGCAGCCATGCCTTCATCAAAATAGGAAAAATAAAAGAGTTCAGCCTACAGAGTTGTTGCCTTGCTTTATTACTTGCGTATGCCAGAGCAGCTTTGTTGGGTGAAGTAAAACATATTGGATGTCTTGCACCCTCATATTGATGCTTTTGAGAGGTTTTGGTTGGGAGGGAGTTGCAGTGAATGTACATCAACTCAGTAGCCAGTCAGCTAATTTCATTCTTATTCATACCAGAGTTTCTGCGTGAATGTATTGAAACAAATAAATGCCAGATAAGGTAAATAACAGATAAAAGAGACTATAGTTCAGTATGCTCTGTAGATTCCTGCCAGAACAATTTTTTTAATTTGCTGTGCAATGAGATAAAGTTCATTATTATGTTTTCATTAAAGCCACACTCAGTTTTCCTCACACCAAACTCTTGCCAAATAACGCCAACAAAACATACATCTGTGTGTAAGGAAAAATCCAAGTTTTTCTAAGGCTGGTACATCTATGAGTCACAGGCAGTGTGTGACATATGGCCCAATAAGCGATAGTGAACAAAGGGAGTGTGTCTATTCTCTGAAATGAGGTGCTAACAGGTATTCAAAGCACCTGGGTAAAACCAACACATGCTAAGTCATAAATATAGCTTCATCTTGTGGAAGGCACAACAATCCTTAAAGGCATACCCTACTGATATGGCAGCGCTGTCGGTGTTTATGGGAACACTACTGCATGAAGAGGAGACAGAAACCATTTTGTCTTCTGCCTCCTTCACCCCATCCATGTAACAGGATATACATTATGCCATGTGATTTAAAACCCTGCATAGACAGTTATAACTCCAGTAGGAAAGCCTCTGCTCACAGAGAAGGCAGACTCCCCACCCCCTGCCACAGACATTAGGAGATGCGGGATGGGCCAGTGGATGGTGCACAGTCCTCTCCCCTTTGGTGTGAGAAAAAAACCACTAAGTAGAGCTAGGGTTCTCTTCAGGATTGAGAAAGGCACCATTCCTCCAGTAATGTATAAATGTATGACTATGGCATGTCTAGATCTTAAAAATTTGTCTAGTGAATTTGCATGCTGTCCTTCAGTATAAAACTCTTAGGAGTACATAAAGGCATCTGGGTAGGCATATTTGCATCTGGGTGGATTCTCTGTTGCTGTCTGAAAGATCCATATAATATTTTCTGCCTATGAGCACTCTTCTGCTAGAGTAACAGGCTACCTCTCACTGCTTTTATATACAAGTGGGGCCTCTCAAAACGATTTTAATCTTGCAAGACTCAGTTGCCCATTGAAATGCATTGAAATCTAATATGTTTCAGTGGGGGGGGGAATCACTGTGCTGGTTTTGCAAAACACAGTTCCCCATACCATACTGGGGGAAAAGCAATCCCCTCACCTGCACTGCCTTTGAA